TCTTGATTATTGTTAAATTAATGGTTTTGTATTATTAAATAAAATTTGCTTCCGATATCTACTTGATAAAACTTATATATACGTCACGAAGCCTCTTCTCAATATTAAATTTTTGTGTAGTCTATTCTGGCCAATCAATTTTTCTTTTTTGTGTAATCTGATCGACGAAAATCATTACTAATTATAAGAATGTCCACCATGCTGGTTATCGCCACTCGTTGTCACTCTAGTTTATTAAAAAGAATGACAATAGTTGTGATCATTGAAACTTGTTGTAATTGTAGTTAGAAATCATTTAAATTTCAGGATAATTATTGTAACTGTTATTGCCTTTTAATTCATTTTAATTTAGTACCTCACTAATAATGAAACTTCTAAAAGAGCCAAAAAAGAGGGATCAGCCACTGCACTTAGTATGTTTATGATATAATTTTCAATTTAATTGTTAATCTTATATAATATTGTATTGAATGGAAGCTACAAATTTTACGTCATCTTCTATTATCATTACTACTGTTTCAATTATACTATTTAATGCTTCACCATTACCATCTTCAGCTTCATCTTCATCTGTAAGTAAATTATGTATTATAATCTTCAAATGATTGTTTTGATTTTTAGCTAATATAATAAAGAATCAACAGCAGCTACAAAGCATTGAATCTTTGGCAAAAGAAACTTTGTTGAAATTGGGTCATATTTATACATGAGATGGTAATTAGCTAATTACCGTAAATACGTAATTCGTAATTGACGTAACTAATTACCACTTTCACTCTTTAAAAACGTAATTACGTGATTAATTATGGGCGACGAAACTAATTACAAATAACAACGAATTAATTATTGGAAATATCATAATACAAGTCAATCCCGTTATAACAACACTCTCTCCGTACAAGCAAAAAATGCCAGTATGACGAGAATGTCATTATAACGGGAGTTCATATAGAAGTCATATGAGAATCATTATCATGTGATTTTGTAATTTTATTTTATTATATATTTTTTTTTATTTCATTCATTTTTTATACATTGTATTAATTATTCTACATATGTAAACTCGATAAGTTGGTCACTCGATAAATCGGCCAAAATTTTCACCCCTTTTTCTTAATATTTAAGCAATTTAATTCGATAAGTCGGTCATACGAGCTCACCCCCACATGACCGACTTATCGAGTTTACATATTAATATGTATCAGGAAATTTAGAACTTACGCCGGGTCAAAATCGAGCAGCATTATACAGAAGTGTTATCAGAATTTTCCATGATGCTGGTCAATTTTGATCCCGGCGTAAGTTTTAATTTCCTTATGTTTTTTCAGAATGATCAAAATGATTTTGATTGGTTCTCCCATTATTATTATACTGAAATGTCGTTATAACGGAATAATTCTATAATTCTAAAAAAAAGTTGACAAATTATGTTATTATACTAGTATAACGGGATAAATAATAAGTGTCATTTAATTTCGTCATTCGTAATTGATTTCGTCACGCGTAATTAATTTTGTAATTACGTATTACGTATTACGTTTTTGGCAAAACAATTACCATCCCATGTATAGTCATGTTAAAGGTATATCCAAAGAAGCAATTGAACAAATTCTGGGAAAAAGAAAAGAGAAGGTCCAATGAATTGAAACTTATCTAGAAAACCTAGTGGATATATTTGATAATTTTGATGATAATGATGATAATGTGGCAAATTTTTCTATTTATTCATTTTATGCTTTCACGTTTTATCAGTTTTATATTAACAAAAGTTTTTGTTTTGATAAGATTACAGAATTAGAAGTTGGCCAAATAGTTATAGTGTATGTGATGGAGATGACAACGATGATGTTGGTTTGTCTTTTATTGTTATTGATTTACTATTGTCATTTTTCTAATGTCAATATAAATTTTATTTGATAGATTGTGGAAACAGATGAAGAGGAGCATAGTGAATATGAAAACAATGATGATGAAATCATGGTTAGATTTATCTTCTTTTAAATTTACATATTAGTGGTATATACAGACCAATCGTATATACCACAATTGATTTCTTGTGTAATTTTTTAGTAGGGTATATACCCCTCAAATCATTTATAACATGTTATATACCATCCCTAGGTATGGCGCAAGCAATTTTTGCCATCTCAAATTTAGCCAACGAAATCAAATATCCACTATGCTTTTGTTGTGTAACAAATAAAATTTCAGAATTTTAACTCACAAAGAACCAAATTTTTATTTATTTTTGAATATATGGCAAGCTTACCAACCAGCACTCGTCAGCTTCGTGCTTGTCTTGTGTGTTCTCTTGTTAAGGTGACAATGGATTTATTTAATTTGTGTTCTTGCATCAAAAGTGTTTGTTGGCTTGTTAATTAATTGATTGATTAATAAATTAACTAGCAAGTTGACCAATTCCGTACTGAAGGTTGTGATAATTGCGAAGGTTTCTTACATTTTAAAGATTCGAATAAAAGAACACTAGAGTGTACGAGTTCAAAAATCGATGGGTTAAATTTTTATTTATTTATTTTTCAAGATTTATTTTATATATATATATATTATGTATACATTTAATTTAATTTTTCTCCCTCCTTTTTTTCCCCATAACAAAAAGTGTAATTGCAAATATAAAGCCAAATCAATCATGGGTTTCAAGAGTTAAAAAACTTGGTAATATATTATTATGTGATATTTCAAAATTAGCAAAAAAAAAACTAATAAATAAATTTTTTTCTAGATGAATGTGTTGAAGGTATCTATGCAGTTGGTGTAACTGGTACATTACCAGATTGGGCTGAGGATGCTATGAGACAGCTTGGGATTAATTATATACCTAGGGATGGTCATCATATTGATGATGGTGGTGAAGAAGAAAAAGAAAATCGATAATTATATTAATAAAAGAAAAAATATTTTAGATTTGAGAATGTAACAATTAATTTTTGTTATCAATTTAATTTTTTATTAGAGTATTAAATTAAAAATTTTATGGTTGCAGAGTGTGGTGGCCAAATATAATGATGATTTTGATTTTTTTAAAGAACAATTTTTGGAAGCTAGAGACCTTTTTTATCAACCAACAGAGTTAAATTTTGAGTTCCTTTATAATTTGTTTAACAACTTTTTTATTTTAAAAATTTTCCATTATATTATTTCTCAGAAGAGTATCTTTCAAGGCAAAGATTATTCCATCAGCATACCATTTGGCACCATAATTTAATTCTTTTAAGAAAGATGTCATTGATGACAGAATGTTTGAGAGTCTTTGAGTGAATGCAAAAATTAAAGTCTCTCAAGTGTGAGGGGATTGCCTGACACCTAAACTTTAAAAGGTTAGAGTTGATATTAAAGAAATTAACAAAGTTTGTTGGACATAAAACAGCTTTACTATTTTCCTCACATTGATCTTGCTTAATATCTTATTCATCTATTAATGCATAAATGTTTTATTAGTGTTATAGTGTTATAGAAATATTAAAAATCTTTAAAAGTGTAAAATTCACATATTTTTTAGAAGCAATAACATTTAATGATGTATTTATATAATGTTAATAAACCATGAGTTAATAAATTTGATTAAAAATTAATTATTTTATTAATTATTTTATAAATTTCATTATTAGAAACATATTGTATCATTCTCATCCATAATTCCAAAGTAACTATCTTGGCAATATATAAATTATAGTTGAGGTAGTTATACTTGTTTTGTTATTGTTCATAATAACTATTACTATTTGGATGTCAATTTTAATGGTTTATCATGCTAAATATTTGATTTAACAAATTTAATAAGACCATTATTAACAATGTGTCCATTTTAACATTAACTTATTTGTAAATAACTTTGTGACCAATATATTAATTAATTATAATATATGTTTTATATATATATATATATTTAAACTTATTGGCATGAACATTTCCTTCTTTTTTTACTTTTTAAAAATAACAATAATAAATATCTAATAATTTTTAAAAGTTTTAAAAACTGCTCTAATCAATCTTTTAACACTTCTCCATTTTTTTTTCCTTACTGCTATACGAATCTTTGTTAACATGAATTCTCTGTGTTCTTCTAATTCTGCTCTGCTATATCTACCTTTACTTGGACCGGCTACTTGTAAAACAGGAACTTGTTCTTGTAAAGACTTATTAAATAAATAAAGTTTAGGTGGACTGTCATTAAATCTAACAGAAAGTCTTGATACCTTAATTGTTCACCCACCACCAAGAAATAAAAAATCAATCAATCAATTAATTTGCTATATATAAATAAATAAATAAGCCAAAACTATTTTCTGCCTACTTGATTTGAATTTGTTTTCAGAATTCCATTTTTAGTACAAAGCCATCTGTGCTTGGGAGTTATTTTAGAATTTTTTATTATGAATTTACTAAACAATAATGTCATAAATCTTGATAAATATTTTTGGTCAATTCTTTCTATAAAATTTGGTAGTATTATCAGTAAAACTTTATTAATTCCCAATAAGATCAATAAACAACATATTATTATTGAATAATCAATATCCGAAGAAAGGAGAGAAAAAATTGGATGTTGATGTTTTTGTTGAGAAAAGAAGTATAATATTTTCTCTAAAAAACCTTGCAATATAAAAGGTAATGCTTGATCTACTATCTTTGACAATAAATATATCGGTATTGGATAGAGCATGATAGAAATTTGTTCATGTCACAATAAATTTGTGATATATACGAAGTCTACTCACGCCCCCTTGGGATCAGGTAAATGCGTGATCATAAATTAATATGCTTGTAGAGGGGTGTCACGCATCTTATTAAATACCATCATAGTGTCGGTGATATTAATAAACAATATAAAAATATTATAAAAGAATAAAATTCATATAGAAAATTAATACTTGATAGGAATTATATATATAAATAATTTTCTTGAGCATGTTGCTTCAAACATACAATCAAACTATTTATGACGTAGTCTTCAAAGCTTAATTGAAAGCACAATGGCTGAGAGCAACGTAACAAACCTGTCCAGAAATGAATATTTGTTCCACTCTGGATATATTCTGAGGTTCTGAGCAAGCAACTGTTGGTGATAGGATAATTAATTAACAATTTAAAACCACGGAAATGACAGCATCAACTCCTTTGCCAACCTGTTCCGATTCTTGTATCAAGCAATTCAATTAATTAATATATTCTTTAATAAAATTTAACATGGCACAGTAATATTTACTTGTCTCGGAAATGCATCTAGCACCAGACATATTCCAAATAACTGTACTCGCTCTATACGAACGATAATATAATGTTTCCATCTTAATCTATGTCTCTGGTATGACGAGCACTCGTCATTTGAGTGATGTCTGAAATTGCACTCATTATCAAAATACAAATTTTTTGTCATCCGAGGCTGAGGTAATGCAAAGCATCCTAGCATACCTGATTCATGAAGGTAACAAAAAAAGTAAGCCAGGATTGTAGTAATTTCGGACACCTCAAATCAAGCTCATTTTATACTTTCTGCTCTAGCCACGGGTTTTGAATATCATGTCATCAATATTCAACACGTTTTCTCGAGTCTTTAACTTTTTTATTTATATAGGATTGGAAATGATTGGCGAGTTTTTTTAATTACATTTTCCTTTTCCAATTATCCAAAAAAGTATATTATCCTAATAAAATTATATGAGCAGGATATTGCCTTTATTAAAAAAAAAAAAGTATATTACTCGTTATCTACTGAAATTTCTAAATTATTTTCACTATGAGAAAGGACACTTTGGTGATGCTCATTCGTTTTTACATCATTACAATAATTTCCATTATCTTTTAAAATATTTTGGATCAGTAATTCGAAATCACTCCTCCTTTCTCTCTTGAGGGGCTCGTTTATTCGACCCAAGTAAATAAAAAATAATAAGCCTATCATGTATCATCATCACATCACCCTACTCGTAACCCATAGCCACATTGGGATCATTTGAACTTTTGGGTAAACCGCCAAGGGCAATTCTCACCTCCAAAGGACCGCGCAATAACTTTATTAATCAGTTAACCGGTCTAATTTAATTACACAAAATTTTTTAACTGGCAAAACGGATCATTCGAAATATATAACTGATATGGTAATAGCATATGCACCATCCAATCCAATCAAAAAAATTTTATAGTCGTAGTATGGTTTCTATTCAAATAAGAATTATTTGTTTTATTTTTATTTTTGAATATTCGAATTACAATGAATGTTTATTCGAATATGTAAAACGAATAAAACGAATAAAACGAATAAGAAACTCTAATACCCAAGCCCACTCAAAAGAAAAAAGTAAAGATTGATGTTCTCTACGGCAGCAGCATTACTCATATTTATTTCATCATTATAAACATGTTGGCATATAGATTATGTTTTGGTTTTTGTATATTTACTTTTATATTCTAGTTGAAATAAAATTTGTAACACCGTTAATATTAACCGGTTAACGGTTCCAACCTCTACCAATACTAAGGAGGTTCTATCAACAGATATAATATTCAACAAATAAACTTGACCTTTGTTTGATTTATCTTTTCAATATAATTTGAGATTATTATTCCACAATCTAAAATTCCACGTTGATGAGGAATTTCGCCAATATAATAAATTTCATTTTGAAAGAGATTCCATGAAATTCAAATAATCTGTTAATCTTGTAATTGGAGCTTCACAATATAAAAATAAATCTTCTTGGTATCTAAAATCTAGTTTTACAACTCTCTAATAATTATAGCTTGTGCGTAATTATATAGATATTTAATTTTTTCCTAATAAATTATACATCATTTAAACAATTGTATAAATAAATATAATAAAATCATTAATGTAAATGGTTACACTTTATTAAATTTTTATCCTCATAATTTGCCAGAAACGGAAAGAAATACGTTCATCACATTTCCTTTCTATCATTTGACCATCTTTCATAACAAAATCAGACGAACATTATGTCACAAAGAAATTTCAAGGATCTCCTTTTTTTAATAGCAGGGAAAAACTAAAACAGAAAAATCAATAAATTTTGTAATGACACCACCAAAATTATTCTGTGACTTGTCTGGTCTGTTGCACATTGATTGATATACAATGGATGATAATATTAATGAATAAATGAAGGAAAGTATTTTTTTATTTAAGTTAATATATATCTGTATGTAGATTATTATATAGAATGTAAATAAATAAATGAATGATTTATTCTGATTTTCGTTGTTTACTAGATCTTTCTTGTTCTCGTTTAGCATAGATCATTGATGTAAATGGCCTAATAACAAGTAAAGAGAGGAAAACGATTAATTATTATTGTCATTTCAATGTGTATATTCATATATAGATAAATATCAATCAATCAATCAATCAATCAATAGAAACTTTAGAAGGAAATACTTGCCCTTCATATTGAATTGCAACCAAGTAAACAATAAAAGCAAAAGTTGATAAAAGAATTCCAGCTGGGCTTGCATACCTAATTATGCACAAGCACACACATATATATAATAAATTTATCACTTGTTTAATTAATTATTTGTCAGTGTGATTTTTCCATAATATAACAATGATAATAATTACCATAAAGCAGTTCCAAGAAAACTCATTGTAGAACCATAATACATTGGATGTTCAAGAATATTGAAAGGAAATGAAGTGACTTTTTCATTCATCAATATGCCAAAGTAATCACCTTTATTTTTTCCAAAACAAACAAACAAACATTAACATTAAAATTAACAATAACATTAACGTCAATATCAAAATCAATGATAATAATGCAATCATTTACCAAGAAAAGTTCCAGTAATTCCTAACATGTAAGTCGATGATGTTACAAAAAGCATTCCTGAACCAAACAATATTGCTCCCAACAATTTTACTTGATCATTGTCAAGTTCTGGTAAAGTTGGTTGATTTTCAATTGCCTGATGATACCTAATTAATTATATTCTTGTCAATATGGCGATCATTAAAAAACCAAAAAAAAAGGAAAACCTACAAATAATCTCTTACAAGACCAAGTGAGAAAATAGTGGTAGCCAAACTATAACAACCGAAATAAGGATTCCCACCTGACAAACGAGTTATAAAGTGTGTTTTATACTCTGTTTTTTTTATATTTTTGGTTCAAAAAAAAGAAATAAGAATTTTTAGTTATCTATCTATCTACTATCCATCTATCTATCCATCCATGTTTTATTTATTGTTTATTAAACCAGAAACATATGTCGTAAACAAAAAATACATATTCACACCTTTTCTTGCTACCAAGTTCCAAAAAACAGGATTAAATAGAATTGAAGCAAAAGAAATCCAAAAACTTTTTTGATTAAAATCTATCAATTCTGAAAAATTTTCTGCCATTTTTTTTTTTTTTTGAAAAGATTTTTCTTGGTGATCGATCGGTTGATGTAACATTTGAAGTTTACATTTTATAGAAAAGAAGTATTCAAATGAAACATATTTTCAGCAAGTGTATGAATCATCTTGACTTCAACTAATAGAAACTTTTTGATATTTAATTTTGTAGAGTATAAGTTGAAATCAACTTCGATCAACCTTTCTTTTTGTAATCATCATCATTATTAGAATCACTCGTATATTTAAGGCACCAAATCAAATCAAATCGAATTCAAAAAAGCTGGATTCAATCTGTTCAAATCAAATCAAACCAGATTTAAAAATAAAATATGTTGGTGATAATAACAATAAAACAAATTCAGTCAAACCTCATTTCAACGAATCAATGCCTCTCTATAAAAATTTGCTACAGAATACATGCGGAAAAAGCGTATTCTTGATTAGAAAAACTCATATGCACTTTCCCATACCTAAAAATACGACAACCATGCAGAACCAGTTCGGAATGTTTTTGGTCTGGACAATAAAAAGGACCATAATAATGATGTGAAAATGAAAAAAAATGTACATCTCAAGTAGTTTACTATTGTTTTTTGAAAATTTAAAGAACAATATCTCAAAATAATACTGTGCAAAGTGGGTATGCAGTTGGCATTTGATATAAATCGGTAAATAAATCAGCATATCAGTTGATTTGGTTTTTTGGGCCTTTTTTCAAACCTTATGTCTTATTGTGTCTTGATGTTAAACACGAGTATTTTTAATGTGTAAACTGGTCAGTAGAATGATAATTAACCCTAAAAAAATTTATTTGCTCCACTAAAAAAACTATTTTGCTATTCAGCAGCCTGCCAAACCAATGAGTTTTGCTAGTATAAACATTATGGTCATACCATATTGAATTTTGGGATCAAACAAAATCAGTGCATATGTGTCACAAGTGAATAAATAAAAAGACTTATAGAAGCCTTTGAGCTTTGTAAAGGAGCCACTTTATAGTTATTTAGTACCATCAAGCATGCTTATGGATTCATCGAGGCTTTCTAGGTACAAGAAAGAGGCAGTAGGCAAGAGCCAAAGTAAATTCATAGATCACCAAATTATTATGAGTTGCTTGACAAGAGTAGCCGTGATTGGTGGTGTTAATCAAAAAACTACCTTGAAAGTCATCAGGAAATTTTTTCTGACGCAGATTTATGTAAGTTTACGGCGGGCCCTGTAATATTATGCAAATAAGCATACAAAAATTATGCAATTATTACATTGAATGTAAATTTTTTATGCAAATATCACAACTTTACATATTAAAATTTATGAATGTAATATTACGGCAGAGAAAATTTCCTGATGAACATCATCATTCAGAAAACTGTAAAAAGTTTATTATAATTATTAGATGATGAGATGCAAAGTGCTAGCGAGGACGAGAGGTCTCATTATAACTTTTACCATCATTTTTTACCATCATTTGTGTAATGACTCTTTAATCAAATGCCATTTCGAAAATTTTAGAATAGGCCATTTTCCAGTTGCACATTTTTAATATTAATATTGATGCAAATTCTTTATTTGAATTATTCATTTAGTTTTATTTGAATTGTCCATTTTATTCGGTTTATTCGGTTTATTCGGTTTTATTCATTTTTTTTATTCGTTTTGTTCAGTTTATTCGAATTATTCGAATTATTCGTTTTATTCAAATTATCCGTTTTGTTCGTTTTCAAAAATTTTTCGGTAAATTGCTCCGGAACCGACAAAGCGGTGGTAAAGAATTTCTTGGGCTTGTAAGGTTGGTTTTAATTCCCTCTTTTGTTCATTTTGTTCGTTTTGTTCGTTTTGTTTGGTCTATTCGTTTTATTCGGTTTGTTCATTTTGTTCGTTTTATTCGGTTTTATTCGAATTATTCGGATTATTCGAATTATTCATTTTATTCGTTTTTATTCGTTTTATTCGTTTTATAAAATATTAATCCACAGTTTGATGCAACAAATTCTATATTAATATTAATATTATTGTTAAGGGATTTTAACTTTGTAAAATTATAAATAAGGCTTATTTCCTTAACAATTTTTTATAGGGATAAAAAATAGTACCTCTGGTTAGTTATTAACACGCCCTCTTTAGGAGAACCAAACCAAACAACAACTCTCACGTTTTGTCATCTTGGACTCTGTCAAAAAATAAATTGTTTTTCCAAAAAAAAAAAAAAAACACGTCAACAAAAAAAAACAATAGTGGAAATTCTACAGTCGAACCCTCTTTTCAACGATTTTTGTTTTTACCCCTTGATTTTATTAATTAATAAATTCTCGTTTCAACGGATTTTATATTTAATATTAATATTAATATAATAATAATAATAATAGATCCGTTGAAACGAGGTTTGACTGTATTTTTTGCAATTATCGCATTTACATTTTAGTAGAAGATCTTCATGTTAAAATTCGTTTGAATTATGACGTATAAATATATTAATATGTATTTAAAATTTGTGATATTACATATCCTGTAATATATAATAATAAAATAGTAAAGCTTTATGTTAATATAATACTTTCCCATATTGAAGAAATAAAACATGCATATTTGTATAAAGCTCCGAACTGTTCAGAGCTTAGGCTAAAAACTACTTGGCAGTTCTTGGTATTATTCTAATTTTTGCACTCTGCTTATTTAGAACCAAACCCGCTAATTTTTAATCCAATAACAACCAGTGAATGAATTTTTTCTGGAGGCACAGACTTAATTACTCAAAGGTGTTGTATTTTAGAACCTGAAACAATAAGAGTTTAAAAGTTTGCAGAGACGATGAATTTTATATATGAATTGAAAAAATGGAACGTCCTTAAGATTTCTATTCGAACAAAACGAATGAAACAAACAAAACGAATGAATGAACAAAACGAACAAAATGAATGAAACGAACAAAACGAGTAATTCAAATAAAGCGAATAAAGCGAATAGAATGAATAATTCAAATAAAACGAATAAAGCGAATAAACGGATAATTCGAATAAGAGTTTGTATGACGAATAGGAACTCTAAACACACAAATTTTTGTGGTGAATCTATGAATATGTAACGATCCGACCTATAATTGACCAGCTGTATCTAAACATGGCATTACGTAAAAAATTCAATCATGATCTCCATACCATCGCTACCATGGTATAAAATTATAGATTGTGTGTGTATTTAGAAACAGGATCCTTCCAGCATCTCTACTTCGTAACACATCTTCTAAACTAAGCTACAAGTTATTATAATTTTTTTGAAGTTATTATGTATATTTTTGCATAGTTAACGGATTTAGAATGTCTGAAATTTTTGGGTCAAACGTAAACCGAACCAAACCGAGCTTTATATTTTTAAAAAGAAATAATTTTATTCTTTTTTTAAATATATTTGAACTATTGATCTATCCAATCAACA